ACGATACATATATACTAGTATGTATGTAAGTATGTATATATATATCTATATGTATTGTACATGAATGTGTATGTGTATGTGTTTTATGTATATGTATGTTATATTTTGTGTGCTTGTTACGTATATTTATATATATATATATTTTTATAGTATATATTTATGTATATATATATATATAGTATATATATATATATATATATATGTATATATATATATAAACATGTGTATATGTATATATATATATATGGGGTTTATTTGTCATTCGGTTTACAGTACGGGCTCTAGCCGAATATTCACTTTATTCCACGACCATCACTTCTCATATATCGATGACACTCATTACAGCAGCAGCGCAAGTCAGTGTTGTATGATGCCATCGATTCGCTGGAGAGTCGCAGTGACCACATCGACACCATCTTAAGCGTTTCGCCGATGGACCATATCTCAGATTTTGGACAACTGTTGCCAGGTACGCAATAACCCCTATCTAATCGTACAGGATTCTTTTTTTGTGCTCTACTCGCCTGTACCCTCTTTTCTGTGCATGATATCAATTAGTTTGGTTCATCTAAGGTTTATCAGAGGATGTTTGCTGGAAGAACTCAACTGTCTATCCCAAAGTATAGCATGATTTGACATAGTACTTCGCGGTTTCATACAAATAAGCGCGTCGCTTTCTCCTCTGGACCATCTATGAGACCTACATATTAGTACCTAGACGTTTGTAACTACAATCCCATGTGAAAACTGTATCCATCACGCTTTGCCAATAGCTTTATTTATACTTTGCATACCGCCAAACTCTCGTGCGTCCCTGTAGGTCGTGGCTCTGGTCTTGATCGTCAGTTCAATATCATCGAGGCTCTTTTGCAATATCAGACACTTATCAAGGAGCATGGTATAGATCCACCTGTACCAGACGATGATGACGGCGTGCAGCTGAAAGGTGCCATTTCGCTCGTGTTACGTGACAATGATGTATTGTATTGCATATAAGTCTGATGTTTGTGCTCAATCTGCTTTGCGAAAACTTTGAAATTACTTGCATCAGAGAAAGTGCAAATTCAATCTGATACTATGGTACGCATACTATGTGCGTGCTACATTGTCTTTTAGAGTTCCTTGTGGTCTTCGTTTAGGTGCCGCTAGTCGCCAATACCCTGCATAGTCTGATTCAGTTCCGAATTCAAGTGTCTACTTTGGTTATTATCAACACGAATGGTACCAATGAGCACGTTCGCTCAAGTCGGAAGTTTAGTGTGTATGCAATCCGCCTCTCTAAAATGTTTGTCCTGTGTTACATACACAACTCATACTTGCATATATCAGACTGCGAAGCATACAACTACGACATTCGACTGTTGATTGAGTTGGGCAACTGGACTATCAATAATCTATCAGAGGTTATGCAAGAGTGCAACGACCTGAAGGCTGATGGCGAAGCATCTGCAGAGAAGATGGTAAGCTCGTGACCAGATACAGTTGATTTGTCTAGCTCCAGTGAGCTATACGAACTGTTATTGGCACCAGTCTCGTCCAGATGTTCCAATAGTATCAGAATTGGTTTGTACTCGCTTATGTACACCGTGTGCTGCATTTGAGCACTATCGAATAGTGAAGGGTACCGACTCTCATTACCATAACTGGTACTTATTGGCTATACGAACCTCGTTATATTTTGCATATCATGTCTTTTCTTTTCTGCCCGATATCAATTTTGCTTCGTCCGCGCACGCATCTCAAATGTGTCGCACTTCACTGCGATGTCATAAATATATTTCTCGTATCCCTCTCTATATTTGGTATGCCTTGTGTTACATCGCTGTGTCCACAGGTGGAGTTGGAGAACCGCCTCGTGGAGCTAAAAGAAGAACTCGATCACACTGAGAGCGCATGCGAAAGCTTCGGTATGTACTTTAACTTGGGGAAGTGTGGGATATGTACGCTGTGGATAATATGCATTCACCGAGTGCGCTTTTGTTGATCCTGGGGGGTCTTATCCACACCCTTTAACTTTTTTCTGCTCTAGTTTGCGTATATGTATGTACCTGTGTTACTGTTTACTGATGGTGTATCAGATATAGTGTCTGTGGTTAGTAGTTGATAACCGCTCCTCGGACTAGCGAAGCGCGTAATAGTGACTAAATACTTTGATATCGATGATATGGCTTGGATGTTAGTCCCTAAATTGGTCACACTGCATTAACTAAAACTGTTGGTCCCTGATCCAAAAACATCGCATTAATTGAAAATGTTAGTCCCTAACCCACTAACATCGCATCAACGAAGCATCGCAGATGACGTCGATATTCTTTGGATCGTAAACAACCGAGCGTTGAAGCTTTTCACGAGATAGAATACGTATAGATTGCTGAGTAATACTCATTTCGATTTGGCCCACCTTATGAATACAGAACATCAAGTGCGAGATATCATGGCTTTGCGCGACGAGTGTGAGGAAGATGTAAGTGCTACAATGGTACCAGTGTATATATCATCTATACAGACTGAGGCATATGCCTAGATATGCATGTATATTTGTATAGATACAAACATACATATGCACATATTATGTATGTTTGTTTAGATATACACAGTCATATGCGCGTATCTGAATGTATGTTCATGTAATATACGCTGGTCGCGGGTATAGTATATATTCCATTTATCCCTTTATCTATGTATTTTATGCTCAGATTTTTTTGTTTATTTTTTCGGTGTACATCATACGGCTCTTAAGGCGTCTGTTGCATAGCTCACGACATACGTACGGAAGTTGCCTCATAAGAGTTAAAGTCTGACTCTGCCAATCGGATATAGATCTCTATTATCCTTTTTAAGTGCAAGGTCAACCTGTCACGTTCGCAGTTTGTAGCTGAGTCGCCATTGTTTAAATTGAATTATAACTAGTTTACAGCGGCATCTTAGTTTTTTACGCTTTTAGATTATGATTTGTCTGGTTTGCACGTTATTTTGAAATGTGATTTTCATCGAACATGGACCGAAAGGAAAGTTTTAGGACGCTATGGGCTTAACTTGCTGATGCAGACGTTTAACCTTTTTTTTACACACACACAACCACAGCGAGCTGCATTAGGCCAAGAGAACATCCGACTGAAGAAGGAGAATCATGAACTGAAAGAGACTGAAGCTGATTTACTCGCACGGAATGGTAAGATTATTATAATGTGGGACGGTTTTCTGTCATGCGAATGTACCGTAAGTTGTTTATTCAGCGAGATATTTATTCGCGCCTGGTACGACGCAACCCCCTAAGGATGTGACCACTCAAAAAACACGGGCAGGTGCATCTGCAGACATTGAATAGTAGATCGCAGCAGTCCACCCATGCCTCTAAACCCTACAAGTCACAACTCTATACCCCTACAATCTCGTGCATGAGAGATCACCTTGTCCCCTGATGATGATTCATCATGATCTGTGAGTGTTCAGAGGAGAACGTAGGCGAACGGTAGTGGTAAAAATAAGGAAATTGGAAGTGCACTGACCCGAAGTTTATCATACTTACTTTGCATGATCAAACTAAAATGATGTATGTAGATATACTGTTATAAATTTACTCAATACTACACTACTGTATCTGTGCTGTATTATTGTTCACTACATATCCACCTTACAGAGGAGAATACGGTAGAAATTGGCCAACTCACAGATAAGCTCTCGCTGATGAAAGGACGTCTGAACCGGCAGAAGTATGTTTTCAGTGTGTACAAAGGAATGAGTGTATATGCTCCAAAACTTAACCCAGATAGAGTTTTGTATGTGTCTATGCCGGTGCATACACTGGATGAGTGTTTTCAAATCGCGGCCAGCTTGACAATACAGTATCCTTGGATGGGGATACAGCGAGTACTTAATATCTGCCATGCTCACATATGTGCCTGAATATGTCATTGTCAGGTATCAGAATGTGGTTACGCATGCTCGTGTGCATGTGTAAACTTCTGTTCTGCCGTATCTGATAAACTGGGGCTGTCTCCGTGTTGCTTAGGCATGCTGCCAGTTACGAACACTTATGTATGATCCATCTGTGCATGCTGGAACCGACAGCAGTCAACTGACATCGCTTGTCCAAAACCTATATTTGAAATCCGAATACTAGTGAGGAAGTGCGCAAACAAGCAGAAATCACGAGTATTGTTTGCTGCGACACAATCATGCACTGAATTATTTGCATTTTTGTACTATAACTTACTTTTCAGTGGTATGTATACTGTACAGTTCCAGTCCCTCCCTTCTGCTCGACATCATCGCTCTCTGTAATTGGTGGGTGAACATTGCGCCCCTGAATTCCTGCACATTTATAGTCCCTCTCACCCGTCAGAGGCATCACTCGCTTCATTTGCTGCTTACATGGTACTCCTTTAATCACTGATTCGCTCTTTCTGATCCGTACTCTGCTCAATACTGAACTATTATATCCTTGGGACGGATATTTGTCTCGAGCGTGGTGCGCGTATGGCACTGCCTTGCACGATGATTCAATACTCATGGTACGTATTACGTATACTGCACAGTTCCAATACCTCGTTCCGGTTCAATGGCACGGGAGAGGACAGCAATATGAGTACTGGCAGCACAAGCGATAGCCACAGCCACTGCCGCCACACAGACACCCACACAGACACAGCCAAGCCGGATGATACAAACAAACTTGCTTTGGCATTGGCCATTGCGGAGAAACAGATGATGATGAAGGCTGTTAGCTTCTTACAGGTACGTTGCCTAACACTTATCAGCTGGTAGTAGATGGGGGTTGATGACTATGTAGCGTTTGAATAGTGCATATTCTTGTCACCTACTTTAAGCGTAGAGAACGAAAAATTCACTCACAGCCATTGAAGATGAGCCTCGGCGCATCTCAGCTACATCACTGCTGTTTGTCATTCTGCATGCGCGGCCATGATGTTGACGCGCGTCAGTAGTTTTGTTATTGTTACCACTTTACACTGACTGTTCGCTAATTCAATGATAGCTCACGCGTACAGCTGTGCTACTCTCGTGGGCTGGGATTCAGTGACTTCCTGTGATGTAGCATTTTATTCTCGGCAAAACTCTGACCAAAGCGTCTGTAATTTGCGTGCTTGATAGTTCGGTGATTGCAGACCCCTGTGGTCATTCACTGCCGCTTAACTGTTATATATATCCAGATATATATATATATATATATATATCTGTCCGATCATGCATAGTTAGCGGCAGTCATCATTGGTATAATAAACTTAGGCATAGCTTGTGAATACATAGTTCTGACGGGCAGTTGGTGTTAGCTCTCTACTGCGTGACCCGCCTAGGCAGAGCGGTTGTCCAATCTCAACGGCTTATGAGTGCAAGTCTGCGTTTGCTGTTTCAACAAATACAGGCGGAGCTCGCGACTGTCAGCGAACTCAATGAAACTCTGACTACAGAAGTACGCGAGTACAAGGAGGTGGCGTTGGAGGCGAGGGACCGCTTAGAACTGCTAGAAGCAGAAAAAGTCAACTATATTCCATCGGTAACAGTGCGACACTGATTTTATTCGCTTATGTATTGGCTCAGTCACTGTCTGAAGAGCTTGGCGGTCTATTACATGTCAGATAGGGTGAACAGTGTAGTGATAGGAAGGACTCGTGTCGACTGTGTACCTTTCTGGTCACATTGCATGCAAAGTGTAGCCCCGAGAAGTACTCGTATCTGCTATGCATCTTTACACATTGCATGTAGACTTTAGTCATAGGAAGTATTCGTATCGGCTATGTATCTTTGCAGATAACATGTAAAGTGTGGTGATGGGAAGTATTTGTATTTATATATACCTTTCTGGTACACATTGTATGCTAAATGTGGCGATAGGAGGTTTATATTTTTACATGTACTTTCTGGTACACATTTTATATAAAGTGTGGTGATAGGGAGTATTTGTATTTATATGTACTTATCTGGTACACATCTCAGATTGTGCGGCTCTGCGCATCTCTTCCATTCTTGGAGCTCTCACGCTAAGCATACTCCCTCCAATGATGTCATGCTCATGCGCAGTCCAATTCCCACTCGACCCAGATTAATGAGTCATATGGCGATTCGCCGTTTATGTCGAACAGTTCGACCGTCAACAAGAATATTACACGTATAGTATGTCAATAAGTGTTGGCTATGACATGTATCTTATGAAACGCATGGTATCTCAGTATGTGTGACCTATAACATGTATCCTATGAAAGGTATGGTAACTAAGTAAGTGTATCCTATAACAGAATATGTTATGTCGGTAGGTGTGACCTATGAAATGTATGGTGTGTCAGTTGGTATGATCTATAACATGTATCGTGTGAAAGGTATTGTATGTCGATCAGTGTGACCTGTATCATAAATACTATGAAAGGCATGGTGTGTCAGTAGGTGAGACCTATAAAATGTATCTTACCCAAGTATGGTATGTCAGTATTGTGACTTAAAACATGTATCCTTTTACATAATGGTATTTCAGTATGTGTTACCTAAAACATATCCTTTGACATATTGGTATGTCAGTATGTGTGATCTGTGACGTATCATTTGACACGTATGCTATGTCAGATGTGTGCCATGTGACGTATCATTTGACACGTATGCTATGTCAGATGTGTGCCATGTGACGTATATCCTTGGCATATATGGTATATCAGTATGTGCGACCTATGAAATGTATGGGGGGTCAATATGTCGATCCTACAAACATGTATGATATGAAACGTATGGTGTATCAGTATGTTTAACTTCTGACATATATTCTGTGACGAATGCGGTATGTCAGTATTCGTTTCGCATCGAGTGGTTATATGCCGATACACATTCGAGCTGCAGTACGGCCATACAAGTGTTGTACTATGACCAGTTGCATGCTGGAGACCGGTCCAAGTTGTCGCTTAGACCTCCTATACACACAAAATACAAGGTATTTAACCACGCTTCTTTCACTAAGAAATATTGCCTTCTTCAACTTCCGTGAGCACAGCCAGACTTAGACAACGAAGATGAAGATTCCGACTGCGAGTACTCCACACCCAGCAACAAACTGTCTTTCGATGACGACAGCGACATACGTGCAGCCCTCAGTTCGACCATTAAATCATTCCCTGAACTCAACACTCCCATGAAGGATACAGATGTAAGTATATCGCACGAAGTTGTACGTATAATTAAAGACTTGTGGCTATTCAATAGGGATGCATCGCTCTCAGACAGGTGCAGCACGTTACGGTCGCTTCGGAATTTGTGTGCGCGGGGTGGCTCGTTGGCCTTCCTGTTGTACAGGGAAGGTAGATGTCGCCTACTGCAGTAAAACTTTTTTCGACGGAAGTTGTACTTGTTCTCACAACTCGATCACCTTTCACCGATGCAATGTGAACCTTCGATAATACATTTTTAAGTGAGCAAAGCATATAAGCGCCCTTATATTTATTGCTATGTGCGTTGTGTGTATATCATTACCCCTTTAGTGTAGGTCCAGTATCAAACTTAGGTAGTGTTTCTTTATCAAACACACTCTCATGCGTCACTAACGTCACCCGTTACGTCCTGTGCAGATTGAACCGCTGCCTGTTCGGGCTGTAGCGCCACAGCCACTTGTACCAACCGCAAGTCATACAGACACGGACGAGGCGAAGGCTTCTGCAACACATCAGCAATTGGCCCAGCAGGACAAGGAGAGAAAAGCCAGTAGCAGCCATCAAGCATCCGAACACTCGGAAATGCAACAAGACACAACGCCCATCAAATCAAGTAGAAGGGTGTCGATCTTGGAGAATGCTGGCGTGGATGTATCGTGTCTCGTAGAGATGGCAGATTCACAGGCAGTTAATGTATTGAACGTTAGTGACGCCAGCAAAGAATGCGGTGATCAGACAGGGGCAAATATACGGCCATCTACCACGGACGCTGGCGGTGCATTACGTATTATCGCAGTTGAGTCCACTGATCAGGTCACGACTGACGCCCAAGAGCCAACAAAGGGGGTCAACATGGACAATAACCATGACCTGGGAACCGCGGAAGCTCTTTATGATACTTCGGTGGGTGTCATTACCAAGACACCACACGAGGACGCGCCCACATCAGTCGTCACCACGCCCGTCCGCATTATTCCGAAGCACAAAACCGGTATGTTTTTATTGAGTAGCGTGCGTTTCCATGCCTGACGATATATCCGTGGTGGTGAAGGGACGTTCGGGTTTGGTTTGTTGGTGGTGTCTTTAAACCCCGAGAATTGGCACTCCGAAGGGCGTCCCAAGAGCTATACTCTGTGCGCTTATGCATATGTCATTCACCACTTCCATGGTATTTGATTGGAATTGGTGTGATTTCTTTCGTACTAATCATATAACTCTCATACGTACTGCTCAGCGCGGACGACACCGCCTAATCCGGTGACGCGCCAAGAAGCCGTGGTCGCCTTTTATACTCTCGATGACGATATTGGCACCGCAACGTCCGCTTTAGGTCTTACGGGTCACCTCCAGAAAGCGAATGATCTCGCTGGAATGATGTCAAAACAAGTATGTTCGAGTTGGCGTAAGGTATCACATGCTTACCTTTTATGACTAGTTCGTTGCTGAATCCAATAGACCAAGCGGTTGAGTAGGACTATTGATTCCTGTGACCTTTCTGTTTCCGTTATCTTAATTTCGTATTCATGCTTTTGATATATCAGGGTCCAACAGAGGAGTTGACAAGCACATCTCGTACCGTGATCGTGGCCAATACCGAAATCCGCCAGAAATCAGACAACAGCTTATCGGACAATACGACAACCATCACCAAAACCTCCAACGAGAAGGGTAAGAGAAGCAGTGCCACAAGCACGCGATCAAGCATGGTGGAAGTGCGGGGCAGTGGCAGCGGTGGCAGACGAGTGAGCGACGCGAATTCGAATATGGGTGTGGACAGGGATGCTAGGCTGAGAAACAGCTCCCAAGAGTCTGCGACAGTGAGTGCACACGACTATCCCCAGGCCGAAAGGAAGACCCGGCGGGTATCCAAGTCACGACAATACTCACAGCCGGATTCGCACAACAACACCATTGACGAGAACAGGATATCCACGCATGTGTCCCCGGGTACCTTTGAACTGACCGGCGACCCCAACGCTCGTCCACCCCCCTGGGAAAAGATGGTAAGTCGATAGAACTACGCTGAGCTTCTGCATAGAGATATGTCTCGGAGTTGTTTTGATATGTTTGTATGTCTACACGCAAACAATTACACATAAGCCTCGACCTGTCCGGCCCAATGCCATATAGTGATTCGCCGCTTCGCAGGCAGCGGGTACTGTTGCAAGCTTCATGCATAGTGTCGCGATCGTCTGCTATTTGCTAGCTATGGTGTTATGGACTATCTGACATGAGCTTTCACATGCATTTTTGATTTTGCACGATTGTCTTACCAGCAAATAGACCCAAAGGGTATCTACATTAATTCTGTGTTTATTTATGGTATGCTTTTCGCGTAAAAAATTAAGAGCAGACGACACGGACACCTCACTGTATGTACAGTATGCTTTAATCTTGATTAAATGTTGGGTGATACATTGCACACTAACCGGTTAATATAAAAGTTCTCACTTCACATCGGTCTTACTGTAGGTCCGCAAATTCATCTCACTTTTTTCCCAATCTGACTGTCTCTTTTGTCCCAAAGTTGCCCTTCGGATGCACTGTGTTCCTCAGACTAAACATTAATCCCACAATCACCACTGTTGTATCTTATCTCTGCAGCGCCCTGCGTCTATGCTGAGTATGAACAGTTTTATGGCTCCTAATGTTGAGGATGTAGTCCGGCAACAACTGAAAGAGAACGGAGGCGATGGGTCTGCAGTCGTTTACGACAGGTATAGATCAGTGAGATAGTCTGGTACCCATATAGTGCTTTATATTCTCGCAAGTTAAGTGTGAGAGTGATAATACCGAGTTCTCGTGGATATGTACGAAAGTCCCGGTAGATATAAGCGATTGTTGCGTTTGATCCTCACATGTAGGTTTATGAGTACATATGTGCATCTGTACATAGGCCAGGACTTCAGCACGATTGTAGGTTCGATATCCATACTGTCCGTGCATAAATGTATATTCGTATATATACATGTCTTATGTATGCGAGTGTACATGTGTTTTTGTGAATTGGAAATAGCGTTACGTGCGATCGCTAAACGGGTAGTACGACGTGTGTGCACATGTACGTCAGAATATTTTGTAATTACCTCATTCTCATTATTTTTGCGATAAAAATCGCTCTGTCTTGGATATATTGAAGTACTAATCCAGTCGATGTGTGTATATGCTCTCGTAAGTTTTACAGACGTGTAGATATACAGATGGTCTCAAATATACCTATTTGAGTCTATGGGAATAGCGACTCCGCGGTAGGATAGATTCTTATCCTCCACTTCGATCTTTTGCCTCTATACATACAGCCATACAGACGGAACCATCAGCGCACAGTCCAATGCAACGGCGCACAGATGCGAGTCCGATATGCCTGAGCTAGAGCTTTGGATGATGACTGTAATGAAGTAAGTCGTTGCTGGAAAAAGGTCTATGCCATTCGTTAAAAGTACAGCACGATTGCATAAAAAATGAGTGTATCGGAGAGAAGCCAATCACCTCCAATGTTGAAATAAATTTGCGTGCGTTATATATGTACTGATCAATGGAATCTTGACTATGAGCACCTTCGGTAATTGCCCGCACTTTTTGACGATAGGCCACCATCAGCAAGAAGAAGATTTTGTTTCCGCACGCTCACAAGTGTTTTTAATCTGATCTCACGCACAGGGGAGATTGGTTCTTGAAACCCGGTGCATTTGGAAGGAAGCAGAAGCGGTTCATAATCGCCAATCCGTTCAACCGCACAATAACCTGGGCTAAGCAGCGAGGCGATGTCAGCAAAAAGTGCACAGCGAGGATGGGTATGAATCTTAAGCACAACTCGTTTGCTATCTATCAGCTTGTGGAATGGCGACGCTTGTAGCACTTGAAGTAATTATTCTCTAGTTGGTCGCCTACGCACAATGATTTTAAAATGACGTTTATTTATATATGTACCATACAGCGGAGGTTCAGAAGGTGCGAATGATCGATGTCTGCGGGAAGGACTACGTGCTCAAGTATGAGGGGATGGATTTGAGATCTGAGCGTTTATTTTCTATTACAAGCACAGTGTGAAACTTGTACGATATCCCTTTGCCTTTTAAGTCATACATAGAAGGCTATGTATATCCCGTGTTTGGTTGTCCGATTCGTCAGTTCTCAAGTTCATCACTGTCATTATTCACCTACATTATTCACCTACACGCAGAATCGAAACCAACCGACAGTCGTTGATTCTGATCACGCAAACGAAGGAAGTAGCTCTCACGTGGGCGCAAGTATGTATATGTTTATATTTGAGCATTGTGGATACAGTGTATTATTATCCTTGCATCTCTGTGTACACTCGACCGCTTTATTGCCTGGTAATAAACCAGCAATTATGCTTCCAGTTAAACCTTTCATTATCTAAAAGCTAATTTTTTTACACAAACACGCCTTTCCCTCTATTCAGGCCCTCCTAGCAATGACAAAAGGAGAATTCTCACCGAAAGTTGGAATGAAGATCTCGCAAGATTCCCACGACATTCTATGCCATGCGAGTGTATAGAGTATAGCCTAAATCCAATATAATTCCCAATTTTACGAGAGAAAACCCAAGAATATAGTAAAGGGAATGGTGCCAATGCCATTCTAGAGGGTCGCACGAGTCAACTACTCCATTAGCGGCCTTGTAACGTAATCGGGACTTTAGAAACATTCCTGTTTAAATAAATTTAGAAAATTTAAAAAAAAACACGTACACTCACTGTTGTGATGGAAAACACGCGATCATTAGACTGGTCCAGGAATTTATCTCAATGAGGCGACAAATATAGCACCGAATGCAATTCGCAAGAGACTTTGTATTATTCGCGAACTAATTCTCGACCATTTTGGATTTTAAGCCAATATCAGCAACTCGCCCATAATTCTCGCGCTCCGTTAAGTTGAAGTGCTAATTCGACCCATTACGTACTGTGGGTCGTTCTGTACTATATTCTGAAGGTGCGTTCAAACTCAGTCTGGTAGTGCTTTTAGTCTTGGTGGTGGCTTCACAGGACATATGATACTATGTTAAAAATCGAATACATACGGTGGCCGGAAATCTTGCGTGGATCGAATCATACGGTGCAATACCCTCTCCTTCCCAGCGTACACGTACATAAGTACATGTACGAGCATATCCATCAATCAATACTGCCCAGCAAAACTACAGTTACAAATCGAAAGCACCTCGGCATCTAAATTGACGTGCAACCCCCGCAAAGGTTGTGCGAGTTTTCCAATAACGCTCAGTGTGAGCACGCGCTCACCAACATGTCGCTGATAATATACAGAAATTGTATGTAGTATACACAAACCATGCCCCGGCAGATAAATCAGTCACATTTGGCAATCCAAAAATTGTGTCGAAGTAAACACACAATCCCGCTGAGATCCGACATCCTTAAATCGAAGAGACACACCCCTTGTGATTCCTCGTACAACTGTAGGATCCGTTTCCACGCAAGATCGACGCTGTCCCAGGCAGGCACATATGACCATCCTCGAGCGAATTGATCGATCTGATTTAGCTTTTTGAGTCTCCATCGGTGTGCATCGCAGCTGCTTCAGCATGAACGGCTGATGTTTCGGTGGGCAGTGCGTCGGCATCCACCTGAGTGGCACAGAGCCACCTGTCGTTCATACTGGGAATCAGGTACGAGCCCGTCGTATCTGCCACTCTGGGTATGTGCATGTGCGTCACAGGGATGTCGAACTGGGGAACGAGATCATATGTGCGCGGCACTCCCACGTACCACTGATTCTTGACGTATTGGTGGCACACTTGGTGGGACTGTCTCCACAGCCTGAACAGTGGCTGCAGATACGGCGATAGCCCAGCGAACTGAAGAAGTCGAGGCAAACAGGGATAATGAATACACGGCACAAGAAATAATACTGGCACTCCCCCGCGAATTGGCTATCAGACATATTTTCAAATTACCACCCATTGTGATGAGCGGTCAAAACAAACGAACTCGCTTTTTCTCGTGCATGAGCGTAGAAACAATAAAAACAATACAATATGTGAGCTCGACCTCTAGCTGCTGATGTTTGAACCGACTTCTGTAAAAGCGTTCAAGGCTTCGATCATACCTTATGTTCGTGATCTCGTAGTTTGTCATTGGAGACAAACAGGGTGTTCATATCATTCCACAGGGCCATGAGCACCCAGACGTAATCATCAGGAACATCTTCATGCACTGTGTGTGAGATAGGTATGCTTAACAGGTGGGCATATCCCTAGCGGGTGGGTCGATGTGTGATTTCATACTCAGAAGTGGAGTTCAGAGTTCACGAGAATATACTTGTACACTACTTTTGTGAAATCCACATACGCGTGTTCAAAGACTGATGTGTTTATATACGTGGACTACGTGGATGTACGTAAGGCGCTTTATTGCAGTGTTGATGTGTATATTAGTGTGTGGTGTGTGAGCGTTTGACGTGTATATTAGTGTGTGGTGTGTGAGCGTTGGTTCGACAAAATTGAGATAAATTGTTGAAATAAAGATATGAAAAACCCATTTCTCACTTTGTATCAGACCTGTAAGCAAAGACCCGTACATTAGCACATCAGAGCATCGTTCACCATGAGGAAGTACGTGAGCTCCGTTGCACCGTTAGCTGCGGTATTACATGCAGATATAAGTGTACAGCCAGAGGATCGCAAAGGGTTCGTGACAATATATCACTGTCCCTATACACTCGTGAAACAGGAATATCGAACTACATACCTACAAGCAATTGCTTATTCTTGTACAGCTTTTCTAGGAATGGGCGACTCTGGGCCGGTGCGTCTTTGATCACGTGTTGTCTGATAGTCATAAGAGGGAACAAGCCATCATCCGTCACCTGCTTTACTAGTCCTTGGAGCTATTTTGCGGCCAAGAGATATGTGTATAGGCAAATGAGACACGCATCCTACACACGAGTGAAGTCGAGAATGAACTCATTTAGAGGCATCTAAATTTTTGTCACCACCACTGGCATATTCGAGTGTCCTAGACTGCTCACACATAAACAGGCTATAAGCAACTCGGAATATATGGTTTATTCCAATTGATCCAGTATCACTTCGATCACGCTCGTATGATATGAAAAATCAGTGCGACCGCTTCGACCTGTAAACGTGGATAGTCATCTAGAGAAACAACATTCCCATTTCGCTGGAGCCTGTTACGAGCGGTGCCACACGCCACCGGCAGGGCAATAGGTAAGCGAATAATAGAAGGATATGATTATACAGCGATAGCCCACCACGTGGCAACAACAGACGCGCAGTGAGACACACACAATCCTTCAGAAGCAGCACATCCCCTTCGCATGTGTATGACATTGCATACCTTTTTTAAGTTCCAATTGGTGCTATTTGGTTTGCGTTTGGTTGCTCCCGCATCATGGCACACATTCATGGCATCGACCACCAAGTCGTATTTCATCATCTTGTTATTCGTGCGCAACCCCTTCACGATATCGTCGTCCATCATCAGACTGATCTCACGCGCCAGTGCGGCTTTGTTCTCGCTACTCAGCATGACGCCCGTGACTTGATTTTGACAGCTGCTGCAAACTCCACCAGGGCTTACAGTGGTCATTCCCGTATTCCATTCCGAGCCAAGAACGCCTACACAATAGGCAAGTATATAAAGCTATTGCCTGAGTGCAAGACTAGATGCATAAGTATATATATATATATATATATTAATGTTAATATATATAAATATATATATCTTATATGTATATATATATATAATGTATGTATGTACATGTGTGTGTGTGTGTGTGTATAATATTATTTATATATATTATTATATATATATATATATATATATAGTNTATATATATATAT